ATGAAAATTATTGGAAATCGTTTCAAAATCCCTAGATATGTTTGGAAATTCCTATAAAATCTTTTAAAAACTTGAAATTTTGAAGAAATCTGCAAAATCCTAGATAACCTTAGGTATTCTGAGAAATTTTTATGGTATACTTAAAAATCGGTTGAAATCTTTTGGAAATCACCTGGAAATACTAAGAGATGCATACATAAGTGTCTGGGAGGAATTAAAAGTTCTGGACATTCGTAATAATCCTTGGAAAACCTTCTAATTCTTTTAAATACTCATTCAAAAACCTTGGATACACTAAAAAATCCTAAGATATCCGTAAAAATCGATGGATATGTTTAAAAATGTGTCTAAATTCTTTAAGATTTTTAGAAATACCTAGTTGTACATAAAAATTTGTGGAAATCGATTCAAAATCCCTAAATATGTTTGGAAATTCTTATAAAATTTTCTAAAAACTAGAAATTCTGTAGAAATTTCTGCAAAATCCTAGATAATCTCAGGTACTTTGAGAAATTTTTATGGTATACTTGAAAATCGGTTAAAATTTTTTGGAAATCACCTGGAAATACTAAGAGATGCATACATAAGTGTCTGGGAGGAATTAAAAGTTCTGGACATTCGTAATAATCCTTGGAAATCCTTTTAATTCTTTTAAAAACTCATTCAAAAACCTTGGATACACTGAAAAATCCTAAGATATCCGTAAAAATCGATGGATATGTTTAAAAATGTGTCTAAATTCTTTAAGATTTTTAGAAATAAGTAGTTGTATATAAAAATTTTTGGAAATCGATTCAAAATCCCTAAATATGTTTGAAAATTCCTATAAAATCTTCTAACAACTAGAAATTTTGTAGAAATCTCTGCAAAATCCTAGATAACCTTAGGTATTCTGAGAAATTTTTATGGTATACTTAAAAATCGGTTGAAATCTTTTGGAAATCTCCTGGAAATACTAAGAGATGCATACATAAGTGTCTGGGAGGAATTAAAAGTTCTGGACATTCGTAATAATCCTTGGAAATCCTTTTAATTCTTCTAAAAACTCATTCAAAAACTTTGGATACACTGAAAAATCCTAAGATATCCGTAAAAATCGATGGATATGTTTAAAAATGTGTCTAAATTCTTTAAGATTTTTAGAAATACCTAGTTGTATATAAAAATTTTTGGAAATCGATTCAAAATCCCGAAATATGTTTGAAAATTCCTATAAAATTTTCCAAAAACTTGAAATACTGTAGAAATTTCTACAAAATCCTAGATAACCTCAGGTATTCTGAGAAATTTTTATGGTATACTTGAAAATCGGTTGAAATCTTTTGGAAATCTCCTGGAAATACTAAGAGATGCATACATAAGTGTCTGGGAGGAATTAAAAGTTCTGGACATTCGTAATAATCCTTGGAAAACCTTCTAATTCTTTTAAATACTCATTCAAAAACCTTGGATACACTGAAAAATCCTAAGATATCCGTAAAATCGATGGATATGTTTAAAAATGTGTCTAAATTCTTAAAGATTTTTAGAAATAAGTAGTTGTATATAAAAATTTTTGGAAATCGATTCTAAATCCCTAGATATGTTTGGAAATTCTTATAAAATTTTCTAAAAACTTGAAATACTGTAGAAATTTCTGCAAAATCCTAGATAACCTCAGGTATTTTGCGAAATTTTTATGGTATACTTGAAAATCGGTTGAAATCTTTTGGAAATCTCCTGGAAATACTAAGAGATGCATACATAAGTGTCTGGGAGGAATTAAAAGTTCTAGACATTCGTAATAATCCTTGGAAATCCTTCTAATTCTTTTAAAAACTCATTCAAAAACCTTGGATACACTGAAAAATCCTAAGATATCCGTAAAAATCGATGGATATGTTTAAAAATGTGTCTAAATTCTTTAAGATTTTTAGAAATACCTAGTTGTATATAAAAATTTTTGGAAATCGATTCAAAATCCCTAAATATGTTTGGAAATTCTTATAAAATCTTCTAAAAACTAGAAATTTTGTAGAAATCTCTGCAAAATCCTAAATAACCTTAGGTATTCTGAGAAATTTTTATAGTATACTTGAAAATCGGTTGAAATCTTTTGGAAATCTCCTGGAAATACTAAGAGATGCATACATAAGTGTCTGGGAGGAATTAAAAGTTCTGGACATTCGTAATAATCATTATATATCACACTTGATATATCACCTTTGCATAATTAGATGCCGGGAATTACAATGAATGGCTGAAAAGGTTGCAGAATCAGTAAATGATAACGTGGAATAGATTAATAATAATGATTTTAATCTTGGACGAATCAAGGTCATGGGCGCACTGCAAAACCTTGGCCTTGAATTAAAAGTCAACCTATGTGTTATCAAACCCAGCCCAAGTAGTAACTCAAAGTCAGCACCTCTTGCTTTTATCCTCCTCTCTATAATGTAAAACGAGTGGAGGTTTTATTTTGGTCGGTCAACGATTTCAATATGGAGGCCAACCCGATATTGTCTGATCGAAGCCTCCTGAGTGATGTCCGTATATCTAATGTCCATAATCAAGTTGATGTTACTCTACGAAAAGGGAATCACATATGGATATTTATATATCTGATTAGTATTAGATTTTATTCCAAATCCAGTTAAGAAAACAAATAATTGGGTTCAGATTTTAAATTGAATATAAAACATTTTTATCTCCATCCCACGTTTAAGATATAAAAATTGAACTTGTTTCTCAACGTAATCGTTTATTCAAGATGTACACAACAAAATTGTTCTTACTCCTTTTATATTTAATCGTGGCAGAAACGAAACCTCGACAACGAAAAAAAAACATGCGCATCATCGAGGGCGAGGTGGTCGATCAAAGTAATTTTCCATTCATCGCAAGCATAATCGAAGAAGGTAACCACGTTTGCGGGGCTTCTATCATTTCGGATCGTTATATTTTAACAGCGGCTCATTGTACGTATAGCGTAGGATTTATTCCCAGGGATTTAGACACCACCGTCGTTTCCGTTGGTGCTTCAAAATGGCAATTGGGAACTAAGTATAGATTATCAAAAACTTACGCCCACGTTAATTATAATGCAGTTGCAACCACGAATGATATTGGGTTGTTTAAAACTGCCAAGAAAATCGAGTTTACTTCTAACGTTCAACCGGTTAAATTAAATAAGAAAGATTTACCTCAAGAATCTGGGTTGGAATGTATCGTGATTGGATGGGGTTATACAAGTAATGGGGGTTTTATGATAGATGAAGCAGCTGATGTTTTGAATGTTGTTAAAATTAATACGATAAGTACAGAAAGTTGTCAAAAGTATTATGAAAATATCGATGAAAGGAATATTTGTTTAACTGGGACGGGAAGAAAAGGAACTTGTAGTGGAGATTCCGGTGGGCCACTTTTATATTATGATGGAGGTGATTTAATCCAAATTGGATTAGTTTCCTATGGTGGTGATTGCAACAACACCTCACCTGAAGTCCATACAAGTGTTTCTTATTTTGAAGATTGGATAACAGACTCGATGAGGTTATTAGACTCAGATAGTGACGATAATCAAGATTTTAACTACGATCACCATCATCACGATTACGGATATAGTTACCCTTTAATTTTCGCTTGGGTACGAAATAATCGTACTCGAGATTTCGTCGTTGAACCAATTTACCCCAAAATACGACGAAAGGGGGGATTTCGTAAAGCAAATGCTATTTATTCGGGGAGACGTTTAAAATTAAAAAAATCCTAACTTACTAAAAAAAAAGATAAATAAAAATTTAATTTATATTTCTTTAATTTTAATTAATGCCTGAAACGGTATATAAATCTATATAAAACAAATACTAGGGTCTAGCTGAAGTCTCCTCGCCCGCAAGTGACTTCAGCAATATTAGATGATATCGTTTATCTGATATCATAGAAAATGAACCAAACGTGCAACACATGAATGAGAAATCGCCGAGGTCGCTTGTGGGGGAGGCGCTGGATATGTTATTATATCAATATAGCTTAGTATACCATAGACAATATATGCCTATAGTTGCTTGTCTGCATAAGATCTTGGCAAAAGATCACAACACTGATCTAGGCCACCTATGCAAACAAGACAGTAAATACACTGAGGATGCTAAGGAATCGTTGGAGCTACTACTTCCCTTCCTCGAAAGTCTGCCCCCACGTAGATGCCGATCCTGAAGTAATGGATATAACCCGTCTATCAGGTAGGGTTCGCAACATAACTGGGAACATTTTTACACCCAACAGAGTAAGGTGGGCTATCTCGAATTTCAAGCCCCTAAAATCACCTGGAGGAGATGGAATTCTGCCTATTTTTCTGCAAAACGGCTTAGAAGACCTGCTCCCAGTAATAATATCCCTATATTCTAGCGGTTTTTTGAATCACCCTGTATAGCTAGCTACAGCCTTAGCTATATACCCACACTATGGAGGTAAGTAAAGATGGTCTTCATACCCAAAGGTGGTAGGCGTTCAAACGCGGACCCCAAGGCGTACAGACCAATTAGCCTAACTTCATTTCTCCTCAAAGGGATGGAAAAGGTAATCGATCAATACCTAAGGAACGGAGTGCTTCTCACAAATCCACTCCACCCTAGCCAACATGCTTACCAGAAAGCAAAATCAACAATTACTGCTCTCCATGTTTTGACTAGCACTTTAGAAGACGTAATTGCAATCAAAGAGATAGCCCTATGTGCTTTCATAGACATAGAGGGTGCGTTTGATAACACCTCTTATGAATCCATAGAGACGGCTCTAAACGTAAAAGATGCATATCCGTTGACAATCAAATTACTATAAAGGCGCTATCACCTCTATTATGGTGCCTGGTAGTTGATGACTTGATGAATACCCTAACAAAAAACGGATTCAAGATTCAGGGGTATGCTGATGACCTAGTAATCACAATCCGAGGTAAATATGATACAATCATAACTCAATTAATGAAGAAAGCCCTACCACTCACCAGTACTTGGTGTAGAAGGAATGAGCTCAGCATCAATCTAAATAAAATCGAAATAGTCCTTTTCACTCGGAGAAGGAAGCTACAAATAAAAACACCCTCAATTGAAAGCAGAATTATTAACCTCAAAACAGAAGTTAAATGCCTAGGGGTAATACTAGACAGTAAACTAATCTGGAACTCACACTTAGATAAACCATTATGGCAAACCAGATCTGCTCCAGACTACTATGAAGGAACTGGGGTCTTAAACCACGAATGGCTCATTGGGCCTACGTAGCAATAATCAGACCCATGGTCGCCTACGCCTCATTGGTTTGGTGGCACAACAACAGCTGGCACAAATCCAGCGGTTAGCATGTCTTAACATAACGGGTGCAATGAGATCCTGTTCGATGGCTGCTTTGGAAGGCCTACTCGGTCTCGCGCCGCTCCATTTATACAGGGTGTATCTGAATGACTGCAATAAATTTCAAGGGGTGAATTCAAAATTGGCAAAAAATGTTGGTTTAATTTTTTTTCTCAAGAACTATAAACACCAGGAAAATGAAATTTGGGGAATAAGTTTAGTTCTAGCTTATTTGTACTTTCAATATTCACTTCTAAGTTACTAAACGTAACCACCCCCGTTCAATTTATACCTAGAGTTTTTTTATGAAGATGATCATAAATAAAAATATTTCTGACAAAGCCTACTAAAATTTTTTCATTAAAAATTTGTTTGTAAAAGTTTGCTTAATTAATTTTTTCTCAGAAATTATTAAATTTTTGATGAACATCAGAGGGGCAAAAAAGTTTTAAATAAATGATTTCTCATTCAATTGCTGTACGTTTGGTTTACTTCTCAAGATATTAACCGGCGAGACGATAGCAACAAACCGCTCAACAACAAACTTTTCCCTTTATATTTCCACCTACTTCTAGGGCCCATATCTCTGTTATCTAGAAAGATAGCGAAAAACTAAGCACACGGTTGGAAAGCTTGGCCTTTTCTCTATCTTAAATCGAGTTTTCGTCCGCCGATATGTTGATAATAAGAGCAAGAAAAAATAAGAAACGTCGCGCTGCTTCAATTTACCTCGGATTTACCAAACTTTCCGAAAAGTAGATGGAAATTCAAAGGTAAAGTTTGTTGCCAACTGTAGGCTCTTTTTCAGGAGCGTTTTTTTACAGACGCCGACAGATATTGACTGACGAAAACTCGGAATAAGATAGTCCAAGGTCAGCTCTTTCCGAATATGTAAATAACATTCCATCTGGTAACGGCTGCACAAGGCCGTGAAGTTTGGTAATTCTGAGGTAAATTGAATGCAGTGCGACGTTTCTTATTTTTTCTTGCTCTTAATATCAACATATCGAAAACTCGGTTTATGATGGAGAAAAGATCAAGCTTTCCAACCGTGTGCTTAGTTTTTCGCTATCTTTGTAGATAACGAAGATATGGGCCCTAGAAGTAGGTGGAAATATAAAGGAAAAAGTTTGTTGCTGGGCGGTTTGTTGCTATCGTCTCGCCGGTAAGATATTAAATGTAAATTTAATTATAAATATAATTTTTTTGATACATATATCAATATGATATCGTTAGTTTTAGAGGATTCTAGCACCTCGCCCGTAAACGACCTGGGAGAAGTGAGCATAAACGCTTTCTCATTCAAGTGTTACACATTTGGTTCAGTTTTCATGATATCAAATAAACGATATCATCTAATACTGCCGAGATCGCTTGCGGGCGATACGCTAAAGCCTACTATCCGTGCAAAAAGTCAAGGCCCCTCACTTTAGAGATCGATATCTTCCTAACCGCTCGATGGAAAAAATTGCTGTAAAGTTTATTGTAATCAGTGAACATTTCTGCGTATCACATGTTAATTTGGAAATTTTCGGGTCCGCGGTTTTACTTTTATCGCGAGTTAAATGAAAAAAGTACCCGATTTTTGAGAGTGCCAGCAACTTTGTCTACTTTGCGATTTTTTCTCTCCAAAACTATTTAGCGATTTAATGGAATTACAAATTAAAGAGAAACAAAAATCAGCTATGCGGAGAAAGGAAGGTTCCGTCCAATCGGAACAGATGGTGCGTCCCAGACAGTACGTCGCGTCTTTATCTTGCCTACATAAAGAAATAAGGCGCGACGTCCTGTCTGGGACGCACCATCTGTTGCGATTGGCCGGAACCCCCGTCACCCCGCAGAGCTTATTTCTGTTTCTTTTTAATTTGTAATTCCATTAAATCGCTCTTAAAAAAATAGGGAGCCTTAATTTTTAAAAACTGATAACGGAATCCGACAACCAACATTATTTGACATATTTTGGTTAAATCCGCGAGGAAATCCACCCAACCGTTTTCGACATAACGGCGTCTTACTAAACCGCGATTTTCCGCGAAACTGTATGAAATATCGAAAAAATAAAATATGCCACTCATTGAGAACACATCAGACTACCACCTGTTCAAAATTCAATTTTTTTCGTACGATAGTTTTCGAGAAAAAAAATCGCAAAGTTGATAAAGTTGCCAATTCCGTAAAAAATCGGGTAAATTTTTCACTTAACTCGCGGTAAAAAGAAAACCGTGGATCCGAAAATTTTCAGATTAACATAAGTTACGTAGAAATGTTCAGTGATTACAACAAACTTTGTTACAATTTTTTTTATGGAGCGGTTGCGAAGATATCGATTACTAAAGTGAGGGGCCTTGACTTTTTGCACGGATAGTAGTATTACCTTCATATTGATATAATAGTATCCAGCGGCTCGCCCGCAAGCGACCTCGGCGAAGTGAGAATAAAGTATTTATCATTCTTCTTTGCGTTTAGTTTCGTATACATAACTTTAAAGGTAACTTAATAAAACTCAACTCATTAAATGTAATATTTTTATGCCATCACATAATCGATCCTTTAAGAGGATCAATTAATTTGCATCTAATAATTTTACAGAGTTTAATATCCAGTCTTTAAAATAAGAAATTTTGGTATAAACTTCAGGTGCGGTGTTGTTGCAATCACCACCATAAGAAACCAACCCAATTTGCACTAAATTACCGTCAATATCAGTTAAAAGGGGCCCCCCAGAGTCGCCACTGCAAGATCCTTGCCTACCAATTCCAGTTAAGCAAATATTTCTTTCATCAACATTTCTGTAGTAACGCCGACATCGTTGTGGACTTATCGTTGTGATTTTTACCTTATTCAAAACATCAGTAGCAGATTTTACTAAGTAACCATTATTACTTGTGTAACCCCATCCGATTACGATGCATTCCAAACCAGATTGTTTTGGTAATTCGTTCCCATACAACTTACCCGGCCGAATATATGTACTAAATCGGACTTTTTTGTCAGTTTTTAACAATGCGATATCATTTACGACTCTATCATTATTGTATTCATCGTGAACGTATATTTTTGAAACCCCATATTTGGTGCCTTCCTCCCATCTCGAAGATCCAACGGATATAAAGGTGTATCGTTCATCTATTAATTGATGTCTTGAGTATGCACAATGAGCTGCCGTTAAAACATAACGACTCGTTATCAAAGAAGCCCCACAAGTATGATAACCATTATAAATTATGCTCACAATAAACGGAAAATTACGTTGATCTGCTGGCCCACCCTCAATGATACGAACTATCCTGCTTTTTAAACATTTACTTTTTGATTCGACCACGAATAAAAACAAAAAAATGCAAAAATAAAGTTTGATGTGCATTTTCGATAATAATACGAGAAAACAAAGAAAACTTTTTAACGTGGGATCAATTAAAGCCCACGTTTAACTAATAAAATCATCTTGGTTTTTACATCGTTTATTCGAAATGTACATTATAAAATTTTACCTACTTTTTTTATTTTTAATTTTAACGGAAAGTAAAAAAATTCGAAGAAGAAAAAAAGTTCGAATTATTGAAGGCGAAGTAGCGAATCAGAAGGATTATCCATTCGTGGTTAGCATAATTTACAACAACAGACATATTTGCGGAGGTTCTTTGATTTCGGAACGTTACGTTTTAACAGCGGCTCATTGTACTTATTCAGGAAGCGAACCAAGAAATATAGAAAACATTTTAATTTCCGTCGGATCCTCCAAATGGGAAACCGGAACGAAATATGAAATATCTAAATCGTATGCTCACGAAGATTACGATAAAGCTACGACAACCAACGATATCGGATTATTTAAAACCGAAGAAGATGTCGAATTTACTCAAAATGTACAACCGATTAAATTGTATCTTAATGATTTACCCAAAGAATCTGATTTGGAATGTATGGTAATCGGTTGGGGATTTACAAGCGATAATGGTTTTATGGTCAGAAAAGCTTCGAGTGTTTTGAATTTGGTCAAAATTAAAACGATAAGTATTGAAAGTTGTCGAAAATTTTATAGGCACATTGATGAAAGGAATATATGTTTAACTGGATCGAGTAGGAAGGGAACTTGTAGTGGAGATTCTGGTGGACCTCTTTTCATTCAAGTTTACACTGAATTAATGCAAATTGGATTGGTTTCTTTTGGTGGTGATTGCAATAACACATCACCTGAGGTTCATACAAGAATTTTTTATTTTAAGGATTGGATATCAGATGCTATGACATTGTTAGATGTAGATTAATAAAAAAAATTCTCAATCATTTATTTTTTTTATTCATTTCAAAATTCAAAATGTTAATCAGAAAATCCTAGGAACTCAGTTTCAACTTTACTTGAATTAGAAAGAATAAACTCAAATAAACATTCTGTACCAGTATAAAAGGACCAGGGATCAGTCGAAGAAGATTTCTCCACCGACCACAACACTTTTCCCATAAGAGGAGAATGAACAAAAATTTATAAACAATGAGGACTGAAGAGGATAAGATTATTTGAGGTAAAGATAAAGAGCTGCTCAAAACGACTGTTAGGAAACTTAACTTGATGATTACCAAACCCAACATGGTGAAATCTAAGCTTATCATTTATGATATACATGTATAGAAGAGAACATGGTTTTTGACAAAGATTTCCAGAAAAGACATCATATAATCTCCAGGGCGATATTGATGGATGTCAGAGGTTGCCAGAAAAAACATTAAGTGTAATTTCTTAAATTCTGATTTCACACCTAAATTTACTATAAAAAACCGCGAAGAACTCTTGACAAAACTTGGAAAGATGAAACTACCAGAAGAATACACAATATTATCATTTGATGTTACTAACCTATACACAAACATACCAACCACAGAAACATTACAAATTTTAAAGAACATACTAGACGAAAAACTTAACAATGAAACAGACAGCAAGAACATATATAAATTATTTGAAATCTGCATACAACAAAACTTCTGTAGCTTCGATGGACAATATTATACATATGACAAGGGATTACCAATGGGTTCTCCGCTTAGCGGATTGATGGCTGATATATTTTTAAACAACTTAGAGGAAAAAATGATTAATAACAACAAGAATCCGTATAACAATAACATAATTATGTGGCAGCGATACGTGGATGATGTTTTGGTTGTTTTGAATACGAAGGAAGACCACATTACAAAGAATTTACACGCATATATTAACACGTTACATGAAAACATTCAATTTACTTTGGAAACAGAACAAGATAATAGAATAAATTTTTTGGACATAACAATTATAAAAACTGACAATGAACTACAATTTAAAATCTTTAGAAAGAAAACACAGACAGACATAGTGATACCACAAGACTCAAATCATGAATATACACACAAATTAGCGGCTTTTAGAGCATACACACACAGAGCATTACACACAAGATTACAGGAAGATGAAATGAAAAAAGAAACAACAATTATAAAACAAATATGTAAGAACAATGGTTATAAACCAGATATTATTGATAAAATCATAATAAGACAGAAGAACAAAGAAACACGCAACACTCTGACAACACTAAGCCAAAACCAAGAAAACAAATACAAAACATACATAGCTTTGGAATATCAAGGAGACATAAATGGTAAGATGAGGAAAATATTTGAAAAATACAACATTAAGCTAACCTCTAAGAGTAACAACACAATAGGTCAATTATTATTAAATAATAAGGACAAAATTAACAAATTAGATAACAACGGAATATACAAATTAACATGCGACACCTGCCAAGCAACGTATATAGGTGAAACAGGAAGATCTCTGCGAACAAGAATAAAAGAACACAAAAACCAACAAAAATCTAACTTTGGCAGACACCTTATTTTCAATAAAAACCATCAATTTGACGAAAATAAAAACGCAACCATAATACATTATAGAAACAAAGGTAATGTAATGGAAGCTCTCGAAAACTACGAGATAAACAAATTCAAATTTTTTAACCCACACACAATTTGTCTCAACGAACAAATCACGACAATGACACGACCATTGTATACTTACCTAAATACACCATACACCCCTCCCCGAAAACCCCCAGAAGAACGAGGATTTACAGCCACAGTTGCAGCTTAAAATCGCAACTATCTGGGTCCCATGGCAACTACTCCTCTCCTTTCTCCTACCTTTTCTCCTTTCTTTCCCTATTTCCCTAACTAAAACGCTAACTTGACATAACATGACATTGAATTTTTTAAACCTTGACTCAAGCACCAAGAACTTACTCAACATTAACGAAGCTTCATATAATAACAGGAAAATAATATTTATGCTAATTATGACCACAAAGACAACAAAATATATTCAGCCAAAAACACCATACACCCCTCCCTAAAAAGAAACCCCCAGAAGAACGAGGATTTTAAAGCCATGGTTGCAACTCTAAAATCGCAACTATCTGGGTCCCATGGCAACTACTCCTCTCCTTTCTCCTGCCTTTTATCCTTTCTTTCCCTATTTCCCTAACTAAAACGCTAACTTGACATAACATGACATTGAATTTTTAAACCTTGACTCAAGCACCAAGAACTCACTCGACATTAACGAAGCTTCATATAATAACAGGAAAATAATATTTATGCTAATTGTGACCACAAAGATAACAAAATGTATTCAGCCAACCTAACCTTACCACAATATTTTAAACTATTTAAATTTTAAAGAATACACGGCTATATTCACAAGGTTGAACATAACCTAAAAATAAAGATAAAGCAACCATTACTAATAATAACATTCAACGTGAACTAAAAATAAGGAAAAACATAAAAATAGAGAAAATTTTAACAACATTTAAGAACGAATAATTCAAGAAAGTACTGATGAAAGAAGAGATGATTCCAGATTTCGAAAATTAAAAGTATAACAGACGTAAGTTAATTTTTGAAGTAACCTAAAAACATGTATTTTTTGAAGAACAAAATTTATTATATATTTTAATTTAGTTTTTAATGTGATTTTTTAAATTGTATAACAGGTGGCTATTGCTCCTGAAGATGACTAAAAAGAATTAGTCGAAACCGGTAGAGCCGAAAATAAAAAATACCCTTCTGAAAAGCAAAGTTTTTTATTTACATAATTTCTTAAAGATATCAAAGATTGTCATAAATAGCATAGTGTGATGCCCAGATTATATTAAAGATGTGTTAGAGTCGATATCGTGTGCTGGTGAGGACCATGTTGTAAATAGTAATGTAAAATGTCAGAATGATGTTGGGATATGGAAAAAAAATACATAAGGATGTTTGTATATGATAGAAATGATGTTGAGATATGTCGGAGACCACGCCTAGGATTGTCAGACACAACATTATATTGCTATGAAGATATTGAGAGTGTCCAGATTAATACAAAGATGTTCACAGTGATGTTAAGGGTTATTAAAGACGGAATTGTGTGCAACCGAGGATGATTTTGACAGATGGCAGGAATGATAATTTAGGATGAGATGGACGAATAATGTTGAGGAATGTCCGAGATGATGTCAAAGGTGGTCAGAAACAACATTGTGTGATATTCAGGGTGTCCAAATTGATGTAAGGATGTCCTCGATTATACCATATTAAGATGTTCAAAATTATCTTAAAATTTAATTATTTCCCATTCAATTAAGCTAGAAAAATAGTAATAGCCATGCGTAACCATGGCAACCAATTGTTTCAGATATCAAAAATAATCTTTGTCTTTAATAAAAAATATAAAACAATTGGTTGCCATGGTTACTGCTATTTTTCTAGCTCAAAAGAATGGGAAATGATTAGACTTTTGGGAAACACTGTATTGCTATGTGGGATGATGTTGAGATGTATCTAGATTGATTAAAAGATGCCCGCCATGATGTCAAAGGTGATCAGAAACAACATTGTGTTTTATTCGGGGTATTAAGAGATACTCAAAAACAAGATTATCTTCTGTCTGGTACGATGTTGAGAGAGTACCATACATGATATCGAGGTTTGTCAATGATTGTATGTTATCCAGGACGATTTTAAAGTACTGTTGATAATGAGGAATGTCCGGGATGATGTTGAGACACATCTAAGATGATATTAATCTCAAATTCACGGACATCTTTCGAGATTATCAGAAATGATACAATGTTGTGTGTAAGCATCCAAAACTATGTTAATGGGTGTAAGAAACGATATTGACAGATACCCGCGACGATGTTGGAGACTGCTAAGGATGATATTATATGTTGTCCGAGATAGTGTTTTGTGTTTAAATTTATGTAGGGATGTTCACGATTATATCATATTAAGAAATGTTCAAAAACGCTATTATATATTGATAATACGATGTTGATGGGTACCAGAGATGATATTAAGGGTTAATGACGGTATTAGAACCTCATATTCGAAGACATCTTTCGAGATTATCAGAAACGATATAATGTTGTGTGTAAGCATCCAAAACTATGTTAAGGATGTCCACGATTTTATCATATTAAGAAATGTTCAAAAACGCGATTATACAGGGTGTTTCAGGTTGTAGCAGCTCTTTATGAGTCGATAGATCTTTTAAAATTAGCACAAAAACTTTACATAAACATAGGTTAAGGGTGTTTAAATTAAATTTTTGAATTGATTTTTATTTAATATTACACGTGTATTTCAACCGATTCTATTCAAATTTGGTACACGGAGGTTTTTTGGCATGAGAAAGACGATTATGGAGTGCTCCATCATCTTTTCGGGCCATACTTTTTGCTACCACAACTAACCGCTGTGGCTTTCTTGTAATTTTTGGTAGCTAAACATGCCAATATGTGGGATGACATTGATTTAGCTTTAAGAAGAAAGGCCTGGTTTCAACTTGATGATTGTGCAGCTTATCGTGGTAGGGTGGTAAGAAATTGGCTACACAACCATTTTTCTGCAAAATGGATTGATCGTGGTGGACCAGTCGCCTGGCCCCACGATCTGCAGATCTTTAAATCTTTAGACTTTTTTGTGTAGAGATATTTGAAAAGAAAATTTTATGTGACACCTGTTCCCACAAGAGATGAACTTTTAATAAGATTAGGAATGTTTGTTGTTCTTAAATACCATTACTTGATCAGTAATTCGTCGGTCAGAATTGTACAAGCAAATTTTTTTACATTAATATTAAATAAAAATCAATTTAAAAATTTAATTTGAACACCTGTATCTCCAAAACAAAGCGTTTGTCGACCTATGTTTATATGAAGTCCTGCTACAAAAACCTGAAATACCTGTATACTGATAATACGATGTTGATGGGCACCAGAGATGATATTAAGGAGCATTATATCCTGTCGAGGACGATTTTGAGGGATGCCAGGTATGATAACTTAAGATAACGCCATGAATAATGTTGAAGAATGTCCGCGATGATGTCAAGGGTGGTCAGAAACAACAATTTGTGTTATACGGGGTGTCTAAATTGATGTAATGATACCCGCGATTATACCATATTAAGAGATGTTAAAAAACAAGATTATGTACTGCCCGGTACGATGTACACCAAGAATGTAAATGAGGAATGTTAGGGATGATGTTGGGACGTGTCTAGAACGATACGACAATGCCGTGGTTTGTCAATAGCGGCATTGTATTTTGACCAGGACGATTATGAGGAATTGTTGGTTATGAGGGATATCTGAGATGATGTTGAGATATATCTAAGATCATATTAGAACCTCAAATTCGCAAAAATATTTCGAGATTGTCAGAAACGATAAGATGTTGTGCAAAAGTATCCGTAACTAGGCTAATGAGTGTCAAAGACGATATTGATGCTTATTACTTTATATGTTGTCTGGGATGATATTGGGTGTCTAAATTGATTCTCACCAACATACATATTGCAATACAGTACAAACTAACTTATCTGCCAGATAACGCTGTCTGGAAGTTTATCGGTATATTGTACATCTGGCCCTAAGAGATGTCCAGAAACGAAATTATGTACTGCCGGGATACACGGGAGTTGTCAATAACGGCATGGTATGTTGTTGAACACGATTTTAAGGTATCGTTGGTAATGAAGGATGTCCGAGATTATGTTAAGATATGTCTGAAATGATATTAAGACAATATTAAGATTTTATTATTGCAAACATTTCTCGAGATTGTCAGAAACGATACAATGTTGTGTACAAAAATCCGAAACTATGTTAATGGGTGTCAAAGACGATATTGATGCTTGCGATGAAGTTGGAGAGGTTGCTAAAGATGACATTATATGTTGCCTGGGATGATATTGGGTGTCTAAATTGATTCTCACCAACATACATATCCATACATTGTAATACAGTACAAACTAACTTACCTGCCAGATAATGCTATCTGGAAGTTTATCGGTATATTGTACAACCGGCCCTAAGAGATGTCCAGAAACGAAATTATGTACTGCCGGGATACACGGGAGTTGTCAATAACGGCATGGTATGTTGTTGAAGACGATTTTAAGGTATTGTTGGTAATGAAGGATGTTCGAGATGGTATTAAGATATATCTGAAATGATATTAAGACATATAGGTATGAAGGCTTTCACAGCCGGTGTCAATTAAACTAAAATTAGAACTAAAACTAGAACTAACACCAGAAACTTTCAGGTTTTGCCGTGCGTCTTTTAATAAAAGGTTTGACGAACAGTTTCAGTCAGAAACTGGTTCGAAGTGGTTTCTGAAGAAGGTTGCAACATGGCATCCGAAACGTCAAACCTTTCATTAAAAGTTTGATATTAAGACAATATTAAGATTTCATTTTTGCAAACATTTCTTGAGATTGTCAGAAACGATACAATGTTGTGTACAAAAATTTGAAACTATGTTAATGGGTGTTAGAGACGATGTCGAATGTTGCCAAAGATGTTGAGAGTTTCTAAGAATATGTTGCAATGTTGGGAGATGAATAGATACATACCAAAAAAAAATTGTTAATCAAANAACGAGATTATGTACTGCCGGGATACACGGGAGTTGTCAATAACGGCATGGTATGTTGTTGAAGACGATTTTAAGGTATCGTTGGTAATGAAGGATGTCCGAGGTGATGTTAAGATATGTCTGAAATGATATTAAGACAATATTAAGATTTCGTTATTGCAAACATTTCTCGAGATTGTCAGAAACGATACAATGTTGTGTACAAAAATCCGAAACTATGTTAATGGGTGTCAGAGATGATGTCGGATGTTGCCAAAGATGTTGAGAGTTTCTAAGAATAGTAATGAAGGATGTCTACCACGGTAAATGTTGCAATGTTGCGAGATGAACCAAAAAAAATTGTTAATCAGAGAAACGAAAGTTTCCAATTTATCAATACAGTCCTCGTTCTCATTATATTTGNAATGTTGCAATGTTGCGAGATGAACCAAAAAAAATTGTTAATCAGAGAAACGAAAGTTTCCAATTTATCAATACAGTCCTCGTTCTCATTATATTTGAAACTCAACCATTGAATGATGAGTTGCTGGTTATCTATATTAGGTGTAAAAGCGATACAACGCTGTTCATAAAGTCTGTTAAGAATTGTAAAACATAGTCTTGAATTTCTTTTACATTCATAGCATCAATCTTTTACCCCTCTAAAAGACTAGAAAATCTAACAAAAGCAGAATAAAATTCTACAAAAATTTGAGTTTTTAATGTTAAAAAAAACAAAACAATTTTATTTTTTTAACGTGGGTTGACGATAAAAATTAAAACCGTTTCAAAAACTCGAACATCCTTTTTCTCTACACATTACAATGAAAAACCTCAATGTTGGAGGTAAATTGGTGATTTTTTTAGTTTTATTTTATGAAGTGGAAAATAATATTTATCAAAACGATCAAAATCAAGAAAATGACCCAAATTACGATTATAATCCAGGAAATAATGTTGATCAAAACTATCACAATCAAGAAAATTCTAACGAAAGCGATTATAGCGAAGAAAATCCTAATCTAAGTGATTACAACGAAGAAAATTTATATGAAAGTGACAACAACGAAGAAAATTCTATTGAAAGCGATTATGGCAAAGAAAATGTTAATGTGAGTGATTACAACGAAGAAAATTCTAATGAAAGCGATTATGGCAAAGAAAATCCTAATGTGAGTGATTACAACGAAGAAAATTCTAATGAAAGCGATTATGGCAAAGAAAATCCTAATGTGAGTGATTACAACGAAGAAAATTCTAATGAAAGCGATTATGGCAAAGAAAATCCTAATGTGAGTGATTACAACGAAGAAAATTCTAATGAAAGCGATTATGGCAAAGAAAATCCTAATGTGAGTGATTACAACGAAGAAAATTCTAATGAAAGCGATTATGGCAAAGAAAATCCTAATGTGAGTGATTACAACGAAGAAAATTCTAATGAAAGCGATTATGGCAAAGAAAATCCTAATGTGAGTGATTACAACGAAGAAAATTCTAATGAAAGCGATTATGGCAAAGAAAATCCTAATGTGAGTGATTACAACGAAGAAAATTCTAATGAAAGCGATTATGGCAAAGAAAATCCTAATGTGAGTGATTACAACGAAGAAAATTCTAATGAAAGCGATTATGGCAAAGAAAATTTTAATGAAAGCGATTACGGCAAAGAAAATCCAAATGTGAGTGATTACAACGAAGAAAATTCTAATGAAAGCGATTATGGCAAAGAAAATCCTAATGTGAGTGATTACAACGATGAAAATTCTTATGAAAGTGACAACAACGAGGAAAATTCGCATGGAAACAATATCAACCAAGAAAATTCTTATGAAGGTGATTACGGCGAAGAAAATGTTTATGAAAATGATTACAACAATGAAAACTCTGATGAATATGAAACTGAAGAAATTAATTATTATCCATTTATAGCAAGTATACGATTAGGAGCCCTTCATTATTGTTCGGGTTCAATAATTACCCCAATGTTTATTTTAACCTCAGCGTTTTGTTGTTATGCAAACGATGGGAAATTGTTGCCAAAGCATCAAATGTTGGTTTACGTTGGTAGTATGTCATTAAAAAATTCGCAAGTTTACCCAATTTATGAAATCCACATCCACCCATCTTACAACCTTTTGGATCAACAGGGAAACGTGGCTTTATTACAAATGGATATTCCGATTCCCCCATTAGAATCGTCAAAATCGATCATATTAAATCAAAATTATTACAACGTCGATTTGTTTAAAATTGAACCCGTCGCGATTGGTTGGAGTACGATAAATCCTAAAGGAAAATTTTCCACGCAGGAAATTTCTGATGATTTAGCCGCGATTTCTTTAGCTTCTGTTAGTTCGACGGTTTGTAGCGTGGTTTATAACAGGATTTATCCGGAGGAATTTTGTATGATTGATGAGAAATTTCGCGAAAACTTTTATGGTTGTGCCTTAGATTTTGGGGCGCCTTTATTTATGCAAAGTAATGGAAAATATATTCAAATCGGAATCGCTTCTTACATTAGCGATTGCAAAACGCAAATTCCGACTGTTTTTACAAGAATTTCAACTAATTATCCGTGGATTAAGTCAACGATTGATTTGGCAAGAAAAAATTTATAAAAAAATCCTTGTAATAAAAAAACAGAAAAATCTTTATCGTTTTTATTCCATCCTACGTCATAATTAAAATGAATGGTGATAACTTTTTATAATCGCACTCGAAATGTACTCAAAACGATTTTTTTATTTTATTTTTATTTTTTCGTGCATGGGTAAGTTTTTGATTTTGAAATGAATGTTTTTATTTCGAGTTTTTTTGATTTAGTTTTTCGATCGGATCAGAAAAAATTAACTCGAATGGTCGGCGGGCAATTAGTTAAAGAAAATGAATATCCTTTCGTGGCAAGTATCCAGCACGATAACAAACACATTTGCACCGGTTCTATAATTGGTTCAAAAGCAATTTTAACAGCGGCGAGCTGCTTTTATTTGAACGATACAACCAAAATTTCGACGTATTCGCTTATGGTTTCCGGAGGAAGCTCGTTTTGGAGGTACGGAGATAAATACGAAGTTGATAGATTAATTATTCATCCTCAATTTGATTATGAAACTAAAATTAACGATATAGCAATTATAAAAATTTCAAAAACAATTTCGCTGATTTCTTCGGTTATTATTAAACTTCTATCGACCCAAATTCCTGATAATCAAACAGTTGTGGATGGTTTAACTTTCGGTTGGGGACATTCCATATATTCCGGACATCCAATAGAATCGCCATCAGAACAATTAAATTCTTTAAAAACAAAAACTGTCCCAGCGAGAGTTTGTTTATTAGAATACCAAACTTTTGGGGAAAACCAAATTTGTTTGGCAAGTACAGAAGGTAAAGGGATATGCCACGGTGATGTTGGGGGGCCCTTAATTATCCAACCATCAGCAATTTTTTTACAAATCGGTATTAGTTCTTATGGTGGTGCTTGTAATTCAACCAAACCTGAAGTATATACGAGAATATCATCTTATCATGATTGGATCGATATCGTTCTTAAAAAAGGGTTAGATAACAGCGAAGAAATTAAACTACCAACACAAGATAAAAAGAAAAAAAGACGAAAAAATAACAAATACTAAATATAAGCACACCTAAAATATGTTATCAAAAATTAATTTAAAAATATCGTATAATTGTTGATATATTATGTTGTTATAAATGTTATCTTTTGCAATAAATGAACACGTGGGTGTTGAAGAGGGGCTATTATTTCATTAAAACAGTGTTTTGTAACAATGAAAATCTTCAATTTGTTGTTAATCTTTGTTCTTTGTACAATAATTCCTGGTAAGATTCATTCGTTTTTATATCAATAGTACGATTAGGGTTTTTAAAATTAAACCGAGGCATTAGAATTGAAACCATATTGAAGCCGAGGTCGCTTGCGGCCGAGGCACACCATAATGACAAAATATTATACGATGTACACCTTCTCTATAAAGTTAAGCCGAGGTCGCTTGCGGCCGAGGCACTAGAGTTTACACCATATTGACATAATTTGATACAATATACACCACCACTATAAAGTTAAGGCGAGGTCGCTTGCAACCGAGGCATTAAGGTAAACACCATAACGACAAAATATTATACAATGTACACCTTCTCTATAAAGTTAAGCCGAGGTCGCTTGCGGCCGAGGCATTAAAATTGAAACCATATTGATGCAATATTATACAACACACATGTGAGTTATTAGTATCCCAGAGGTCGATAGTTACTAAATTGTGTGAAAAACAAAAAAATATTTTATACAAAAGTTGTTTGACTCATAAAATTATTGTCACTTATACAGGATGTTCCATTTAAGGGTAACGGAGTGTACGCAAATTTATTTAAATGGAACACCCTGTATATTTTATCATATTATTAATATAATTAAATTTGTTTATATAACCATATATATTACTAGTAAACAGCGTTCATAGTTCCTGAGATATTCAATTGTTCTTCCAAAATGTGCCCATTACAGGATTTTTTAAAAACGATGTAAAAACGACATTTTTTCCGATTTGGCCTTGAAACTACCTCAGACAGTAGTCAAAGCCAGTAGATAGATCATAGTGTTCAAAAATATTAGATACACTATACAGGGTGTTTAAAAAGCTCAGTTACTTCCTGTATATTGCGTGATTGTTGAATTACTCATCAAGTTCCCTTTAATTAATGATAAGTATGTCATATGTCTAACTTTAATAGTTTTCCTGATATTTAGAATTTAAAGAAAAATGTGTAATAAAATGTCATTATTGTACTTAAAAAAATATATTCTGTTCTTTTTTTGTCGCTTTTTTTTTGTTTTTTCTTTTTTGTTTGTCTGTCATTTGTAAATCAGTAATATTACATTAAAATACAATTAAAAAAAAACTTTAATAAATAAATAATCAAAACGTGATAAAAATACAAAAAATACAATTAAATGGCAGAACAATAAATCGCTTTTTTAATTACTAAATTATTTGAAGGAAATGCAGCAACAAACTATAAACAATTACTAAACGTTGCTCAATAAGTAGATATTAATTTAATTAATATTTAGAAGTAGTTCAAAATGCCGCCCATTTTCTCTTCTACAAGCATTAATGCGCTGTATAAAAGATCTTGAGATCTTTTAACATGTGCAACTTATTTACTCTAAAGTCATAAATTATATGGCAGAATAATTGCAATGTAACATGCTTTTTAAATCTCATAAAGTACCAAGTTGCATTAAAATCTGCTATATGGCAGCAAAATTATTTTACATTATAAAATATTAATCAAATAATAAAAAGAAGAACAAAAAAAACAAATAAAAATAGACAGAATAATAATATTAAGTACAATAACGCATATTTTATTACAGGTAACTTGATGGGCAATTCAACCAGCACATAATATACAGGTGATTCCATTTCAAAAACTTATGAAAAAGCCATTTGAAAAACATCAAAAGTAACTAAGCTTTATGAACACGCTGTNTATAAAGTTAAGCCGAGGTCGCTTGCGGCCGAGGCACTAGAGTTTACACCATATTGACATAATATTATACAATATACACCTTCACTATAAAGTTAAGCCCAAGTCGCCTGCGGCCGAGGCACTAGAGTTTACACCATAATGACAAAATATTATACAATATACACCTTCCCTAGAAAGTTAAGCCGAGGTCGCTTGCGGCCGAGGCACTAAAGATTACACCATATTGACATAATATTATACAATATACACCTTCTCTATAAAGTTAAGCCTAGCTGGCTTGCGGCCGAGGTACTAGAGTTTACACCATATTGACAAAATATTATACATTGTACACCTTGTCCATAAAGTTAAGCCGAGGTCGCTTGCGGCCGAGGCACATGAGTTTACACCACATTGACATAATATTATACAATATACACCTTCCCTAGAAAGTTAAGCCGAGGTCGCTTGCGGCCGAGGCACTAGAGTTTACACCATATTGACATAATATTATACAATATACACCTTCACTATAAAGTTAAGCCGAAGTCGCCTGCGGCCGAGGCACTAGAGTTTACACCATATTGACATAATATTATACAATATACACCTTCTCTATAAAGTTAAGCCTAGCTTGCTTGCGGCCGAGGTTCTAGAGTTTACACCATATTGACAAAATATTATACAATACACACCTTCTCTACAAAGTTAAGCCGAGGTCGCTTGCGGGCGAGGCACTAGAGTTTACACCATTTTGACAAAATATTATACATTGTACACCTTCTCCATAAAGTTAAGCCGAGGTTGCTTGCAGCCGAAACATTAAGGTTAACACCATAATAAAATATTATACAATGTACATCTTTACTCTATAAAGTTAAGACGAGGTCACTTACGGCCGAGGCATTAAAATTGAAACTATATTGATGCAATATTATACAACAGACACATTTCCTATAAAACTAAGCCGAGGCAGTTGCTTATTTTAACACCATAATTACACAATATTATACAGGCTGTCTCACGTAACTGGTTCATTAGAACTTTTTAGGTTCCACTATTAGTACAGTTTTGAAATTTTGGTACCATGGGTTGTTCATTCCAAACTTTTAATCTGAAGTATTTTCAAGATGGCTGCCACTTCCGGTCTACCGAAAGTAGACCATAACTTCGTTATTTTAAATGGAATGCTATAGTTTTTATTATACCTTTTAATTGTACGAAAAAAAATATGTAGACTTTCATAAAAGTTATTGGTACCTAGTGTCTTTCGTTTTCGAGTTATTTTGATTTTATGTTCTTTTTGGCAAAGTTCAGCATGCTCTTCTCTTTAAAACCCCATATCCCAGCCCATCACGTTCAAGAAAGCTCTAATTTGGCACGATTACTGTCAGATTACAGATGCTGTCAAATAGATTGTCATTTATTGTATCAGAGTATCTTATACAGGCTGGTCAAAAATTAACTTACCGTTTCTCCATATTCAACCGTAAGAAAGTCAAAAATTTTAAATGGAACGCCCCATATTTTATTAGCCAACCCGAAAGAGAATTTAATTCTCTACAATTTATCTATATACATTCCTATACCTATTTATTATAGTTTCCCTCATATTGGGAAATTTATCAAAACATGCAGGAAGCTGTTTGTATTTTTATTAGAAAGCCATGACATTTTGACAGTTTTTTGTTTAATTCATTTCTATTATCATTTGTACTATTAACTACGATTGATAATCTTTTAGTTTACTAGATTTTACTTACCAGAAATAACAAACAGAAGATCAAATAAATGAAACAATTAAAGCAAAAAATTAATGACGAAAATTAGATTTGGATAAAATATAAATTTGTTATTAAATTGAATTTGGAAGTGCAACAAAATACGATACAATATTTATTTCGTTGTCTTCACCGAAAATATGTTCAGAAATAAGAAAATCTTTATCGATTTTTTGAAATGTTTCCTTGTGATAGGTTTGTTAGGCCTGCATTTCGTGCATGTTTTAATAGATTTCCCAATACGAGGCAAACTATAATAAGTACGTATAGGAATGTTTATAGATAATTTGTAGAGAATTAAATTCCCTTTCTGATAGGCTAAAAAATATGGGGCGTTCCATTTAAAATTTTCGACTTTCTCGCCAGTGAATATGGAGAAACAGTCATTCAATTTTTGACCAACCTGTATAAGATCAAAGGAACTTTTATCAAAGTCAACCTATTTTTTTTTTAGCATTCCGTTTAAAATAGCGAAGTTATGGTCTACTTCCGGTAAACTGGAAGTGGCAGCCATCTTGAAAGTATTTTAAATCGAATGTTCCGAATGAACAACCCATGCTATCAAAATTTCAAACCTCTACGTATAGTGGAACCTGAAAATGTTCTAACGAACCAGTTACGTGAGACACTCTGTATAATATACATCTTCTCTATAAACTTAAGCCGAGGTTGCTTTCGGCCGAGGTATTAAAGTTAACACAATAATGTCACAATATACACTTTCTCTATAACGTTAATCCGAGGTCGCTTGCGGCTGAGACATTAGAATTATATTAATGTTGTATCTCTTTGAAATAAATTGTAACGCCTCGCCCGCAAGCGACCTCGACTTAACTTTATAGCGAAAATGTATGTTATTTAATATTGTATTATCATAGTGTCAAATTTAATGATGCCTCGGCCGCAAGCAACATCGGTTTAATTTTATTCGAAAGGTTTATGTTGTACTATATTATATCAATATTCTGCCAACTCCAGTGCCTCGGCCGCAAGCGACCTCGGCTTAACTTTATTCGTAATGTTTATGTTGTACTGTATTATATCAATATTGTGTCAACTCTAGTGCCTCGGCCGCAAGCGACCTCGGCTTAACTTTATTCGTAAGATTTATGTTGTACTATATTATATCAATATTGTGTCAACTCTAGTGCCTCGGCCGCAAGCGACTTCGGCTTAACTTTATAGTGAAGGTGTAAATAGTAGCGCCTCGCTCGCAAGTGACCTTGGCTTAACTTTATGACTAAATACAATACACATAAAATATAAATGTTTTCTTTTTATTATAGAAAGTCACGAAAAATTAAAAAGAAATAATGGAAAATCCATCCAAAAACAAATTTCAAACTCAACAATCGAAGAAAACGAGAAGACACAAAGAAAAATAAACGAATCTAAAACAGATACGAATATAACAAAAGCTGAAAATCGAAATTCCAAGAAAGTTATTGGTAAATCGAAAGGTAAAATTAAAAAGCAAGCCGGAAAGAGTGTATTAAAAGATAAAAAACATATTTACAAATCGTCACCGAGAAAAAATCAAGGGAAAAGCTCAAAAAAAAAGATGCAACCTAAGTCAATGAATAGCACGAAAAATCAAGAAAAAAATCAAATACCAAAATCAGCATCAAAGAAATTACATCAACCCAAACAAAATCAACCTTCTAAATTACGCCAGAAAAAAACCGTTTCAAAATCAAATAAAAAAACTAAATCCAAAAAGAATTTAGCAAAATCAAATTTACGATCGAAATTACCAAATAAATCTAAACCACAAGGAATAATGATAACGGAATCGGTTTTATTGCCATCGTTAGCGAGTATAACTTATATTGGAATTCATATTTGTTCGGGAACGATCCTAACAGATCGATTTATTTTAACGGTGGCTCATTGCGCTTACGATGGTCTTCATGAAATCCTCCCAAAAGAAAACATGAAAATAGTCCTTGGAAAAACCTCAACTGAAAACGGAACAATTTATGATATTCAAGGTTTAATAATTCATGAAAATTTTGATAACCTCACTTACGCCAACGATATTGGTTTAATAAGAACGTTAAATTCGATTATTTTTGGTAAAAATGTTGCGCCTATGGTGTTAAGAAGAAAAGCTGTTATAGATAAAAGTTTTAATGATAACGCAACGGTTTCTTGGTTTGGATTTCCTACATCTGAAATGAATTCGAGCGATGAAACTTTTCTTATAGCTAATGTTCGTTCGATTCCAATCGATGTGTGTAGAAACACGTTTGTCGCGGTCAGTTTAAGACATATTTGTATGAGTAGTGTTGCGACTGATGGTAATTGTAATGAAGATTCAGGGGGGCCGTTAGTTATTGGAAGTTATGGTAAAATTGAACAAATTGGAATTTTATCTTTCAGTATAAATTGCGGAATTAATAAACCCGAAGTTTATACAAGAATTTCTTGGTATTTTGAATGGATAAAAAAAGTTATGGAGAGAGTGAAATAAATCCAAAAATATTAACGCCAATTTATTTTATTATTAATTATAAAAAGTGTATAAAATGTTAAGTAAAAGAATAAATAAAACGTTGAAATCTTTCTAGCGCCACCATTACGTCTATGTAAAGGTTGAATCGTCGGAATCCGATGATTAACATTAACTAAAAACGCATATTTAGCATCTTTACATTTACTTAAATTCCACAAAACTATTCCCATTAAATGAGATTGATAAACTCCAATTGCTCCGAACACATTCTTACAATTACTATTATTAACCATCCAATTATTAACGCAAATGTAGTCGTCACTTTTATTTAAATCTACACCTTGTTTATCAAACAAATCTCGACACATTTCTCTTTCAGAATAAACCACGTGGCCACAAATCAAATTAAAAATTGTCGCATCTATTTTCGTTACATTCAAACTTGTCGTTATATTTAAATCTTTATTTTTCACTCTCAACGTTCTTTTATTCAAAATTGGTACAAATCCCAAAACGTCGATAAAAACGGACTCTTTCCTTTTACCGATTTGAAGGAAATCGATATCGTTCATAATCGGCAATGATTTCGTCTTCAACGTCATCCTTAACGTTAATTCTAACAAGCATATCTCCAGTTTGTTCATTTCGACTTGGTTTTTTAAACGAACATCTGAGACGTGTTCGATTTCTTGTTCCCAATTCGACATTTTCAAATCGAAACCGGCGAAAACGGTGATGTTTATCGCGTTTTCGCAACAATATCCCGCTGTTATTATGTAATCGGTACTCATTATCGCTCCGGTACAATATCTGGTGGTGATATTTGTTGTTGTTACAACCAAAGTTGTTGATGCCAAATGTTCAGCGTCGCAACCGGTATATTCTTTGTGGTATTCGGCGGATTCTTTAGAAAACGTTGATAAAACAATAAAAATTAATGTCAATTTCATGACGTTTATGACATTAATTAAAAAATTAATAAAATTAAAAGTTAAAAAAAATAATAGTAAATTAATAATGGATGTGGCGCCATCTGTTAAAATATATTAACGCTAAAATAAGTCATTTATTGAATTAAATTAATTTTAAGATTGCAATATCAAAGAAAATTAAGAAAAAATACGTTTTGTAATTATCGTTTCTATACAGGTGTCCATTATGTATGGAATATAGTATATATCTTGGTAAATGTTTACTTTATAAAAAAACATTTTATACAGTTGTTTAATATTTTATTTGCCATAATAGGATTGCATTCAATTGTTTTTAATTCAGAAAACAAATAAGTAACGAATAACACTTAAATTTTTTTAAATAGCAATGTTGGGCAATGTTAGGCTCATTTGATAGAGATTACTTTTGTCTTTATGATGACGTAAAATTTTTGTACCCTTACATCAAAACCTTAATGTGTTTAACCTTAATGCCTCGGCCGTAAGCGACCTCGGTTAGCTTTATAGGAAAGGTATATGTTATATAATATTGCATTAATATAGGTTCAACTTTAATGCCTCGGCCGCAAGCGACCTCGGCTTAGTTTTATAGGAAAGGTGTATATTGTATAATATTGCATTAATATGGGTTCAACTTTAATGACTCGGCTTAACATTATAGAGAAGGTATACATAGTATAATATTGTGTCATTTTGATGTTAACGTTAATGCCTCGGCCGCAAGCGACCTCGGCTTAACTTTATAGTGAAGGTGTATATTATATAATATTGCATCATTATGTGGTGTTAACCTTAATGCCTCGGCCGCAAGCGACCTCGGCTTAACTTTATTGTGAAGGTGTATATTATATAATATTGTGTCATTATGGTGTTAACCTTAACGCCTCGGCCGCAAGCGACCTCGGCTTAGCTTTATAGGAAAGGTGTGTGTTGTATAATATTATATCAATATAGTGTTAACTCTAATACCTCGGCCGCAAGCGACCTCGGCTTAACTTTATAGTAAAGCTGTATTTTGTATAATATCATATTAATATGGTGTCAACTCTAGTGCCTCGGCCGCAAGCGACCTCGGCTTAACTTTATAGTAAACCTGTATTTTGTATAATATTATATTAATATGGTGTCAACTCTAGTGCCTCGGCCGCAAGCGACCTCGGCTTAACATTATAGTAAACCTATATTTTGTATAATATTATATTAATATGGTGTCAACTCTAGTGCCTCGGCCGCAAGCGACCTCGGCTTAACTTTATAGTAAACCTGTATTTTGTATAATATTATATTAATATGGTGTCAACTCTAGTGCCTCGGCCGCAAGCGACCTCGGCTTAACTTTATACGAAAAGTTAAAAAAGATGTGGCGCCATCTCTTGAAATATATTAACGCTAAAATAAATTATTTAATGAATGAGTTAATTTTAAGATAACAAGAAAATTAAGAAAAAATGAATCAACTTATTATGTATTCCTTGTAAAACCTCATTAAATATTCTCGAAACGTATTTTCTACGTTACAAGCCTTGTAACGAGTACGTGGTTCTTTTTGGCCGTCAAAACAAAAAAAATATTGCGTAAACTATCGAATAATAGGCCAATGTTGAATGAATAAATTTGTTATTATAAAAAAAATAAGTATAAATACCCCGACGTATTTCATTAAAAATCAGTTTCAATTAAGACACCATAACAACAAAAACAACAATCAACAATGTTTAAAATAGTGCTTCTTTTAACCATCTTTACCATCGCATCATCAGAAAAATTAGATGGCTACAACTATAACAGACCAACAATAGCATTTCTTTTACCACGCCAACAACTAGTTTTACCACGACAACAACAACTTCCTGAAATTTATGGCCCCCCACAAAGTTTTTCTTCCCCTCAAAGCGAGTATGGACCACCACTTCCAACTGAATTAACTCCACCGGAAGTTGATTTGGAACCAAGAGAAGAAAGTGAAGATGTTTTAACAACCACTGAGATGCCAACGACAACCGAGGAGGTTCCAAAAGAAGCGGAAGAAATTAAAGAAAGTAAAGACGTCGAAGAAATTGAAGGTGACGTTGAAAATAAAGAAGTTGAAGATGCGAAAAACGAGGAAGGTGTTTATTACATTTATCACCCATCTGGGTTGTTACAAAGAATCATTTACACGACTAATAACGATGTGAGAAATATGGCTTATACCGCTCAATTTAGATATAAAGATGTCGAACCGATTAGAGATCCAGTTTATACTTATGATCCAGAAACTTTAGTTTTGAGACAAATTGTGGCTTAGTTTTATTTTTATTTATTTTATTGTAACCTTGGTGGATGTATTTAATTAAAAAGAGCACTTATTATTTACGCATTTTTATTTCAATTTTAATTCAAAAAATTTTTAATTTTGTTGTTCGTTGATCCAAGAGACGAAAGAAGAAACTCTGGTGAAAACATCTGGACGTCCGTTAGCGCATGGGTTTCCCCAGGAAACGATACCGATTTGTTTACCATTGGCAGCTAATGGACCACCAGAGTCACCATGGCAGACACCTTCTCCTCTTTGGGTGAGGGTGCAAATGTTGCTGTCGAAGATGGTGTTGCTTCCCCAAGATGATTGGCATTCTTCGTTGCTGATGGTTTTCAAGGCGAGGTATTGCAAGTTATTTGGAGCAGATCCAGGGTAACTGGTGGTTCCCCATCCGGAGATGACACAATCTCCAGTTCCGGTAACATCGGATTCGGGTTCAATGGCTTTAACATTGTCGTTGAATTGAATTGGGGAGGAAACTCGGAGGAGGGCAATATCATTTTCGATGGTGTTAGGATTGTATCCGGAGTGGGCAATGATTTTGCTAACGCTGTATCTGTCACCACCACTGTTCAAAGTGGTGGATCCAGTAACAACGGTGTAAGAACTAGCAGATCCACCATAAACGCAATGGGCAGCGGTCAAGACCCAGTTTTCGTTAAGGATGGAACCACCACAAGTGTGACTTCCGGAGGATCCCCTCAAAGAGATTTGGTAAGGGAATTGACCAACAGCGGCATCATCACCACCAACGATACGCCAGTTGTAGCTGTCATCGATTTTGGTATCGATGGCGTAGCCTGATATAAATCACAAAGTAAAAAAACGAATCAAAAAAATTAAATATTTTATCTTACCAAAGGCAACAGCGAAAAGAGCTGAGAATGCAACGATGAATTTGACCATTTTGAATATTCTGCCATTGGAATGAATTGGTGCCGTTTATATAGTATATTTCAACAAAAAATTGAAATAGATTACATTGTTTTTAGGCGAAACCTTTATCAGCATATCGGAAGCATAGAGTAAATCCCCTCATAAATCTATAAATAATAACTGACAAAATTAAGTGTTTTAAATGATGCGTACAGAAAAAATACTGAAAGATGACAATACAATTTTGAAATGCATATATTGCACTAATAAAAGGAATAATTTCAAAATTGTAATCCTGCACTTCAAGAATTACAACATCACATGAGTTCAGATTTCAATACATACTGAAGCATTCTTCCTTTATTTATCTCAAACGAGAATGTATTTGTTCTGCGTGGAAACCCTAAGAGTAAAAAAAGCTCATTTCCTGAATGACCAAACTTCATAAACATTATCAGAACGCCATGCCACAACGCCTCATATCATTGTGTACATTTTTGGTTAACTCTAAACAAAACAACAGTGGAGATTATCTTCTCTTGCTTTTATGTCAACCCAGGTGGTACGAATAAGGTTTAGATGCTGGTTTTCTCGTTAACTCGCTTAGATTTGATTTGGTAACTCATTCAGAAACATACAAGGCTAGTGATCAGGATTTCGTTGCTTAATACATTTCCTTTACGACACAAATAGTTTATTTATGGCCAGATGGAGAAAGAAATTCTAAAATTTTCGGACGATCTTCGTAGAGTCACCGTGATATTATTTCAGAAATCTCTCTCACAGAGTTTTTCACATGATGATAACTGCTTAAGCAATCGTGCTTTGACATTTCAGATTTCGCCAATTCTCTAATTTATTTAGATTAGCACAGTGTTTTGTGAATCTCAAACAAATCCAAAGTCATAACATCGTTGATGGAAGATTCTCGATTTAGTGCCATTTATAGCATAAAGGAATCCTCCTAATCTTAATATATGCCATGCAATATTCCAAATTTGAGCTACCCTTGTTGAAGTCCTCTTTAGATGTGACTAATCTATGGAAACTATTTCTACAGTCACCATTAAATCTGATTGCAACATTTTTACAAAGTTACGAATGGAGTAGTGAGATTGCCAAAACTATATAGTTTTGTAATGATAATGTGTTTTGGATACAATGAAAATTCCTACTTCTAATCTTTAAAGATAAGCTACTCGCTACAGATAACTTAAACAAGCTACTTTTCCGGAATCAGCACTTCCATTTAGGACGTCTCTGAACAATGTTTAGAAGCTTTATTGATAAAAAGCCTTATTATGCAAAAAGTTTCAAAAACTGTAAGAAATGGAAATAGCCAACATTTAAATACACACAGAGTATCTATGGCACTAATCATGCCTAGTGTTAAATGTATGCTAATGATTTAAAAACAAGATTTTCCAACATCTCCTCACCTCTTGATTGTTTGAGATTGCAATCTAATTTAAATAATCTTCATAAATTAACACTAGTTCATTCAGTTATATGTATTTTTTCTTGGTAAACTTTATGCTTTATATTTTCAAGTAAAACAAATTTTATTTTTGTTTTAAAAAATGAAAAACTTATACAGCCAATTTTAGTTAAGATGCAATATACAACAATAAAAATATACAACAATCTAGCGGTAAATAACAAATAAAACTAGACTAACACTAGCACTAGAACTAACACTATACCTAGGACTACAATCATTCGGGTTTAGCCGCACTTCTCTAAAGGCGGCTAAACCCGAATGATTCTAGTTCTAGGTATAGTGCTAGTTCTAGTTTTATACTTGCACTCTCACTAGCACTAACACTATTCCTAGAATCATTCGGGTTTAGCCGCACGTCTCTAAAGACGGCTAAACCCGAATGATTCTAGTTCTAGGTATAGTGTTAGTTCTAGTTTTATTCTTGCACTCTCACTAGAACTAACACTATACCTAGGACTAGAATCATTCGGGTTTAGCCGTGCGTCTCATAAGACGGCGAAAGCCGGAGTTCTAGGTCTAGTGTTTAATTGTCATGCAACGCTAGATTGTTGTATATTTTTATTGAACTAACAGTAGAACTAACACTAGACCAAGAACTAGAATCATTCGGCTTTAGCCGACTTATGTATGAGACGCACGGCTAAACCCGAATGTTTCTAGTACTAGGTCTAATGTTAGTTCAAGTGAAAGTTCAAGTGTAAAACTAGAACACTATACCTAGAACCAGAATCATTCGGGTTTAGCCGTCTTTAGAGACGTGCGGCTAAACCCAAATGATTCTAGTTCTAGGTATAGTGTTAGTACTGCATAATAACAGTGCAAGTTGAAAACTAGAACTAATACTCTACCTAGAACTAGAATCATTCGGGTTTAGCCGTCTTTAGAGACATGCGGCTAAACCCAAATGATTCTAGTTCTAGGTATAGTGTCAGTTCTACATAACAACAATGCTAGTGTAAAACTAGAACTAACACTAGATCTAGAACTAGAAACATTCAGGTTTAGCCGTGCGTCTTCAAACTTTGTTGGCTAAACTTTGTTATACAGCGCTAGGTTGTTGTATATTTTTATTGAACTAAAAGTAGAACTAATACTAGACTAAGAACTAGAATCATTCGGCTTTAGCCGTCTTATGAGACGCACGGCTAAGCCGGAATGTTTCTAGTTCTAGGTCTAACATTAGTAACATAACATAACTACTTTCTAGTATAGAATACTTTCTAGTTCTAGATCTAGTGTCAGTTCCAGTTTAACACTAGCACTATCACAAAAACCAACACAAGACTTAGAACTAGAATCATTCAGGTTTAGCTGTATTGAGAGAAGTGCAGCTAAACCCGAATCTTTTTTAATTCTAGGTCTAATGTTAATTCTAATTTTAATTGTTATTCAGCGTTAGATTGTGGCATATTTCTATTTTTGTGTATTTTTTTACCGTGCGTCTCTTAAGACGAAAAACCTTTTCCAATCAAAACTTTTCCTTTGCAAAACTACCCAATTAAGCTATGTTACATTTTATTTGGGACAATGCAAGTGCATAGTAGTTTCGTAATTATGATTACTGCATTCATATGTTGCAAGTTATATCAAGTTCCCGGTATTAGGATATATATAATTAAAAACATCATTTATTATATTAAGCGTTTTTTATTTCTCTTTTATACATATACATACACTTGATTCATAAGAACTAAATAATTAAAATTTATTTAGTGTTGGTGTTGATCCAACTGATGAAGGAAGAAACTCTGGTAAAGACATCGGGAGTTCCCCTGGCGCATGGGTTACCCCAGGAAACGATACCGATTTGTTTTCCATTGGCGGCCAATGGACCACCAGAGTCACCATGGCAGACACCTTCACCGCTTTTGGTGAGGGTACAGATGTTGCTATCGAAGACGGAGTTGCTTCCCCAGGCAGATTGACATTGAGTGTTGGTGATGGTTTTCAAGGCGAGGAATTGCAAGTTGTTTGGTACACTTCCTGGGTAACTGGTGGTGCCCCATCCGGAGATGATACAATCTCCAGCTCCGATAACAGTGGAATCGGGTTCAATAGCTTGAACATTGTTGTTGAATTGAATTGGGGAGGAGACTTGGAGGACGGCAATATCGTTTTGAACGGTGTTAGGGTTGTACCCGGAGTGGGCAATGATTCTGCTAACACTGTATCTGTCACCGCCACTGTTCAAAGTGGTAGATCCAGTGACAACGGTGTAAGAACTAGCAGATCCACCATAAACGCAATGGGCAGCGGTCAAGATCCAGTTTGCGCTAAGGATGGAACCACCACAAGTGTGACTTCCAGAGGCTCCTCTCAAAGAGATTTGGTAAGGGAATTGACCAGCAGCGGCATTAGCACCACCAACGACACGCCAGCTAAAGCTATCATCGATTCTGGTATCGATGGCGTAGCCTGATACAAATCATAAAATAAATAAAGGAATCGAAAAATTAAAATTTTATCTTACCAAAAGCAACAGCGAAAAGAGCTGAGAAAGCAACAACGAATTTAACCATTTTCGTTAGTTTGTGCCTCTAGATTGAATCGCGACCGTTTATATAGTGTGTTTTAATAGAAAAAATGAGATAGATTACATTGTTTTTTTGATGAAACATTTTATCAATATCTAGAAAAATACGCTTACGAACAAAAGGAATTGTCTAAATCGGTGGACAGTTTAGAAACGGTCATTAAAAAAAATACAATATCAAGTATAGATTATTTAATCTCGATTTTTCTTAATCTTTTTTTGCCANTAGAAACATTCGGGTTTAGCCGTGCGTCTTCAAACTTTGTTGGCTAAACTTTGTTATGCAGCGCTAGATTGTTGTATATTTTTATTGAACTAAAAGTTGAACTAACACTAGACCAAGAACTAGAATCATTCGGCTTTAGCCGTCTTATGAGACGCACGGCTAAACCCGAATGTTTCTAGTTCTAGGTCTAACATTAACAACATAACATAACTACTTTCTAGTATAGGATACTTTCTGGTTCTAGATCTAGTGTCAGGTCGAGTTTAACACTAGCACTATCACTAGAACTAACACAAGCCTTAGAAATAGAATCATTCAGGTTTAACTGTATTGAGAGTTGTGCAGCTAAACCCGAATCTTTCTAATTCTAGGTCTAATGTTAGTTCTAGTTTTAATTGTTATTCAGCGTTAGATTGTGGTATACTTCTATTTTTGTATTTTTGTGTATTTTTTTACCGCGCGTCTCTTAAGACGAAAAACCTTTTCCAAGCAAAACTTTTCCTTTGCAAAACTACCCAATACCTGTACTATTAAGCTATGTTACATTTTATTTGGGACAATGCAAGGGCATAGTAGTTTCGTAATTATGATTACTGCATTCATATCGAGTTATATCAAGTTCACGGTATTAGGATATATATAATTAAAAACATCATTTATTATATTAAGCGTTTTTTATTTCTCTTTTATATATATACATACACTTGGTTCATAAGAACTAAATAATTAAAATTTATTTAGTGTTGGTGTTGATCCAATCGATGAAGGAAGAAACTCTGGTAAAGACATCGGGAGTTCCCCTGGCGCATGGGTTACCCCAGGAAACGATACCGATTTGTTTTCCATTGGCGGCCAATGGACCACCAGAGTCACCATGGCAGACACCTTCACCGCTTTTGGTGAGGGTACAGATGTTGCTATCGAAGACGGAGTTGCTTCCCCAGGCAGATTGACATTGAGTGTTGGTGATGGTTTTCAAGGCGAGGAATTGCAAGTTGTTTGGTACACTTCCTGGGTAACTGGTGGTGCCCCATCCGGAGATGATACAATCTCCAGCTCCGATAACAGTGGAATCGGGTTCAATAGCTTGAACATTGTTGTTGAATTGAATTGGGGAGGAGACTTGGAGGACGGCAATATCGTTTTGAACAGTGTTAGGGTTGTACCCGGAGTGGGCAATGATTCTGCTAACGCTGTATCTGTCACCGCCACTGTTCAAAGTGGTAGATCCAGTGACAACGGTGTAAGAACTAGCAGATCCACCATAAACGCAATGGGCAGCGGTCAAGATCCAGTTTGCGCTAAGGATGGAACCACCACAAGTGTGACTTCCAGAGGCTCCTCTCAAAGAGATTTGGTAAGGGAATTGACCAGCAGCGGCATTAGCACCACCAACGACACGCCAGCTAAAGCTATCATCGATTCTGGTATCGATGGCGTAGCCTGATACAAATCATAAAATAAATAAAGGAATCGAAAAATTAAAATTTTATCTTACCAAAGGCAACAGCGAAAAGAGCTGAGAAAGCAACAACGAATTTAACCATTTTCGTTAGTTTGTGCCTTTAGATTGAATCGCGACCGTTTATATAGTGTGTTTTAATAGAAAAAATAAGATAGATTACATTGTTTTTTTGATGAAACATTTTATCAATATCTAGAAAAATACGTTTACGAACAAAAGGAATTGTCTAAATCGGTGGACAGTTTAGAAACGGTCATTAAAAAAAATACAATATCAAGTATAGATTATTTAATCTCGATTTTTCTTAATCTTTTTTTGCCAACCCTTCCACCACTAATAGTTCTAAAAAAAAAAACAGTTACAAAGAAAAAAATTGTCTATCTCGACTTTCGATCAACAATCTGCGGCGGTAAATCGATCCGAGTTTATTAGCATAATAAAATGGCCATTTTGTAATTTGTAGCGAACCGGGGAGCGATTATCTTAGTGTTTCGAGCGGTAACATGCAACAATGCCATTTGGCGTTGGTACGCGTTGGCTTAATCCTTCGGACAACGAGAGGGCAATTTAAAAACAGCTACAACGAAGCCCTTTACATTCGACCGTGCTCCGAGATTTTATCGAAACCACCCGATTTCAACCCTCGATATTGTAATACGCTTCAGAGACTCGTAATGCGAGCACTCGATTAGACAATGATCACCGTATAAAAGACCATATGGTGTTGAAAAAATTATAATGGTAATAGTAATCATGACAATAAGCTCCAATAAGCTTTGATATTAGTTAGATTAAGTAAATAATTTCTTGTTGCAATCATTTTTTAACTAGATAAATATATAATATATATAGAAGTATAATATATAATATATACAGGGTGGTCCATTTAACGTGATACAAGCGATTATCTCGAAAATGATTCATTTTACATAAAAATGAACCAAATGATAGTTGTTTTGTGCGAAAGGGGAAATCACATTTTTTGACCGTAACCTTATTTTCAAGGTCATATGAAGGTCACGACCAATTTTTTAAATTGCACCCTATGTCTTTGATTGCAAAATGTAAATCTATGGATAAAAGTAAAATAATTAAAAAAAATTACCGTGTGGTTTTGCCAGTACGACGGTGAAACATCTTTTGTAGACAAAATCTAAATAATTTTTTTATTCAAATAGTTTTAAACACTTCAATACATTTATTAACCCTTTTACTAAAACTTTTATTACACCTTAAAAAGTTTTCTTGGCTACTATTTCTGCATGCATTTCTTATCCGCTCTTTCATGTTTTCTGGCATAGTCGGTACTTCGCGATAAGTCAATCAAGAGGTGTTAATTAAATCAGGTGATCTGGCGGGCCAGGAAATTGTACCTCCCCTTCCAATCCATCGCCCAACATAATCCCGATTTAAAGCTTCACGTACAATATGTGAAAAATCCCATCATTTTGCAGCCACATATTTTGTCTTTCTTCGCTGCTCAAATCTACAAGTAACGTTGATAAGACGTCATTTAAAAAAATTCTGAACTTCCCCCCATTCTGCATACCATCAAAGTATGGACCTGTCCTTTGTTTGTAAAAGTAAACTCATCCGAGAATAGCACGTTACAAAGTTGTTGATGCAATGAAATGTAGTATCTTGTTAATATTCTTAAAATGCTGGTCTTCGATATTCCGGCGTCAATTGCAAGTCGGCGAGTGCTAACTTGAGGATTTACCTCAACGCTAGCTAACACGGCAATTTCCTTTTCTTCCTAAAGTTAGTTACAATTGCTCGCCGAGTTCTTTTTCTTGATTCCACATTTCCAGTGTTAGTGAAATCATTCACGACTTTGTAAAAGTACTTCTCGAAGGCGTATTTCGATACAAAGCCTATACTATCAGCAACTTTTCTGCCACTTTCTCCATAAATAAAAATCATTTCAACTTTTTCTGCCACACTTAGAGTAGCCATGATTTAATGACTTAGATTAAACACTTTGTCTTAATGTAAATCGATGGAATNTCACCGTATAAAAGACCATATGGTGTTGAAAAAATTATAATGGTAATAGTAATCATGACAATAAGCTCCAATAAGCTTTGATATTAGTTAGATTAAGTAAATAATTTCTTGTTGCATTCATTTTTTAACTAGATAAATATATAATATATAATATAGATGTATAATATACAGGTGTCTCCGAAATGCGCGTACAACGGAAGACCACAAATTCCTTGACTCAAAATAGGTCGATTTAAGTTAAGTTATCTACGTTAAGGTAACTTTTGTAACTTCAATGACGTAAACAAAGCTTGCAGATATTTAAAAACATCTTTTTTCTGGCTTAACCACTTATGTAATCAAAATCTTATAAGAGACAAAAACGGTTTAGAACTAAATGGGCTATTCAGAAATTATAATAATGTAATTGTCGCCTGGCCAGAAAAAAAGATATGGAGTAATATCCGGTGAACACATGACATTTCTAGGAACTTACTTCTGAAAAATGGTTTCAATTGATTTACACGTTTTCGAGTTATAAAAAATAAAAGAATTTTTTTTGCTAACTTTGAAGTCCTCTAGCGGCAAAACGAAGCAACTTTGGATATAGATAACTTAACTTAAATCGACCTATTTTGAGCCAAGAAATCTGTGGTCTTCCGTTGTACACGCATTTCGGAGACAGCCTATATAATATATACAGGTGGTCCATTTAACGTGATACAAGCGATTATCTCGAAAATGATTCATTTTACATAAAAATGAACCAAATGAAAGTTCTTCTGTGCGAAGGGAGAAATCATATGACGATAACATTTTTTGACCGTAACCTTATTTTCAAGGTCATATGAAGGTCACGACCAATTTTTTAAATGGCACCCTATGTCTTTGATTGCAAAATGTAAATCTATGGAAATTACCGTGTGGTTTTGCCAGTACGACGGCGAAACATCTTTTGTAGACAAAATCTAAATAATTTTTTTATTCAAATAGTTTTAAACACTTCAATACATTTATTAACCCTTCTACTAAAATTTTCATTACATCTTAAAAGGTTTTCTTGGCTACTATTTCTGCATGCATTTCTTATCCGCTCTTTCAAGTTTTCTGGCGTAGTCGGTACTTCGCGATAAACATTATCCCTAAGGAGGTGTTAATTAAATCAGGTAATCTGGCAGGCCAGGAAATTGTACCTCCCCTTCCAATCCATCGCCTAGTACAATCCCGATTTAAAGCTTCACGTGCAATATGTGAAAATTCCCTTCATTTTGCATCCACATATTTTGTATTTCTTCCCTGCTCAAATCTACTAAGTAACGTTGGTAACTTCACGCAATCTCGGATTTTCAACGTTCCAATAGTGCATGTTATGTCCTTTGTTTGTAAAAGTAAACTCATCCGAGAATAGCACGTTACCAAAGAAATTGAATTCGTTCTTGTGCCCATTGACAAAATATTAATCGATTTTCAAAATCACCTCCATAAAGTTGTTGATTCTTAAAATGCTGGTTTCGATATTCCGGCGTCAATTGCAAGTCGTCGAGTGCTAACTTGAGGATTTACCTCAACGCTAGCTAATACGGCAATTTCCTTTTCTTCCTAAGGTTAGTTACAATTGCTCGCCGAGTTCTTTTTCTTGATTCCACATTTCCAGAGTTAGTGAAATCATTCACAACTTTGTAAAAGATACTTCTCGAAGGCGTATTTCGATACAAAGCCTATACTATCAGCAACTTTTCTGCCACTTTCTTCATAAATAAAAATCATTTCGACTTTTTCTGCCACACTTAGAGTAGCCATGATTTAATGACTTAGATTAAACACTTTGTCTTAATGTAAAACGATGGAATGAATTCAGAATTTGTTGCCAAGCAGTTTTTATGCAAATTTAGTTTTATCTGTTACATTTTAAAACAATTGAACCAATTAAGTCCACGAACTCTTGTTTTTTATGCGTTATTCTATTATCAAATTGACAAAGGCGGAGATATGTCGCAACATTTTAGACCTCTTTCCAAAGGTATTTCCGACGAGACAGATCACCCGATGTACCTCTTCTGGATTTTTTTTTGTTGAGCATTCTTAAATAGTATTCTAACAATAACAAACTAAAACCAATGTATCGAAGTGGGTAAGAAAATGTTTAAAAATTCATAAATGTTATTTGTTCTTGCTAGATTATAAACGTTAGTTAATTGTTACTTAAGAAGTTTCAATTTTTTTCAAAAGATGTTTAGCCATTGTACTGGCAAAACCACACAGTATAATTTTTGTATTTCTTTCTTGAACTACTTTACTTTTATCCACAGAAATAAAATACAGAATAAAATACAGAATAAAATACAGAATAAAATATATAGGGTGCCATTTAAAAAATTGGTCGTGACCTTCATATAACCTTGAAAATAAGGTCAAGGTCAATTTAAAGGTTCATTTTTATGTAAAATGAACCGTTTTCGCGATAATCGCTTGTCTCACGTTTAATAGACCATCCTGTATAATATACAGGATTGGGTTGGGTTGGGTTGGGTTGGGTCAATTACTTCCATAGCATACTACCTGAATAGTTTTCCAATTAAAAGAATAAATGGCTATAATTTATTTATTAATAAAAATATCTATATCAAGTAGTATATCATTAGAATCGTTGAGAAAAGGCCTTTTTTATAAAGTCATGACCACCTATGATTTCTATTAGAAAAATTACAAGTTTGTGTCATAACTCAAAAATTATTGCTTAAATAAAAAAATCAGTTAGACTGCTTTATTAAACATGTAATACCCCACAAATTTTTCCTTTACACATTTTTCCTAAAATCAATAATAGCGAAGCCATAGGTATCGAACGATATAACAAAAAACGGTTTTTTCGAGATATCTAGTTAGCCATGCATTTTATCCAGAAAACAAAAAGCTCATTAAATTGAGTTCATGAAACTACAATTCTTTCCTTATTTAATCGTCTCTCTATCTCCGCTAATTTTCGAGATCTCCATACTAAACATGGAAAAAACTCACCCTGTATATAATATACAGTGATACAATAAAGTCTACATACACCCCAGAAAATGATAATATCTCAGCTCCTGAAATGTAATTCAATGAATTTT